GTGGGGGAGGTTATATTGTGGGGTTTGGGTTTAGGGTGTAGGATTGTTCCGGGGGGGTGGAGTGTGGTGGTGGTGTTACTGTGGGATTTGGGTTTAAGGTTTAGGGTTTATATATGATGATATAGGGTTTAGTTTTTAGTGCATTCTTAAAATTTTGAATTATTATGTACTACATTTCTAAATTACATTCACAAATAGAAAAAAACTAAAATAATTAAAGCAAATCCAGAATAAAAAAATAATAAAACCAATAGATTTTTAAAAGATCTTGACTATCTAATGATAAAAATTATTTTAAAAATCTTTGAAAATATAAACTATCGAATGAAGTGATAGGTGAAATACAAGACATATAAAAGAACGAATAATAACACTGAGTAAAAGAAAAGAAGACGGTGAAAAAAAAGATAGAAAATTTGGAGAAGAAAAAGAAAACTCGAACATGAGGAAATAAAAATCAAAGAAGAAAACATGGATGTGAAGAGAAAAAAAAGACAAAGAAAAGATCAATAAAAACTAGAATAATATGATGTGGTAGAGAGAGGAGGAATGAGGAAGAAGAAAAACCGGAAAAAGAATGTAAAGAAAATTAGAAAATAACAATAAAAATAGTGAGTTAGAGAATATAAAGACATCACAAGAAAATATTGAAAAACAACAATTGAGAAAATAAGAAGAAGAAAAACATAATGAGAATGAATACAAAATTGAAAGAAAAATAAGAAAATTGAATAATTGGAGAAGAATAATAGGGAGAAGAAAACAAGAAGTGAAAAATCTTTTGTATCTCTTTAAGCAAATAAAGAAGATTATGCGGAAGAATGAGAGAAAAAAAAAGACAAAAGTAAATTACACTCAGATTAGAAAAATGAAAAGTCGGCGAAAACATAAACGATGAATACAATCATAAATTATACTACTTAAATTATTAAAATCTTTGTACTCGCACAAAGTGCGGGACTACAAGGTGCACAAGGCTCCATTTTTTGTGGAGTTATTGTAGGGTTAGAGTTTAGAAGATAGGTTTATATTGGTGGGTGTAGAGTTTAGTTTTTTGTGCACTTTTTAAATCTGTAGTTCTTGAAAATTCTAATGAAAAGCGAAATAGGAAAACAACTAAATTTTTTAATGTTTTGTTCAAATCATATCGATTAAATAATAACATTTGAAATTCTTAAAATATCATATGAAATTTTATGCATCAACAGTTACACCAAATTAAGCAAAAATATTTAATTCAAATAAAAACATTTGTCTATTATGATGTTATGGTGTACTGTACTGATGGGGGAGAGGGTGGGGTGTTTATTGTAGGGTTAGAGCATCTCCAACTCAGCCCATATTTCATCTTTATTGCTATTTTGGAGCCAATTTTGCTCCAATCCAACCCATTTTCAATCTCAAAATGGCAAAATGCCATTTTTTCCCAAAATGAGATTGATCCCATTTTCATCTCCATTTTGAAGTTGAAGTTTTTAATTTATATAACAGTCCTTGAAGTTTTAAATTAATTCAGTTTAAGATATATAATTAATTATTTTGATCTTTATTTTTACTCTAAAATACAAATAACACATATTTAATAAGAAATTTAATTATTTAAGCTAATAATAAATTTTAAAAAAAAGAACACTTTTATTAGAAATAACATCAAAAAGAAATTTATTAAAACAACTTATTACTGATTTTTAATTTATTTAGTTTCCGGATCCACCAATATCACTAAAATATTATCCAAAAGAAATAGTTCGTGAGAGTTCCTTTAGAAGAAGTAGTATTTATGTTGTTATTTTTAGTCTTGTAATAATGTATTAATAATATTTTCATAATTAATTTAAATAATTATAATTAATTGTGAAAGTTTTGAAGAAAAAAAATATATGGGGCAATTTGTAATAGATATAAATATACAATGTAAATTTAGTAATTAATAAAAAGTTTTTTAAAAAGAATATTCTTGAAATATTCTTTTTGAACCAAAAAATGAAGCAATACATTGGAGCAAAACCCAACCCCATTTCGAGATTTCTTCAATTTGGAGCAAAATATGGAGCAATACATTGGAGATGCCCTTAGGGTTTAGAATGTAGGGTTTATATTGGTGGGAGTAGGGTTTATTTTTTGGTGCGTTTTTTTAAATCCTTAGTTCTTGAAAATTATAATGAAAAGAGAAATAGCAAAACAACTTAATTTTTTAATTTTTTGTTCAAATCATATCGATTAAATTAAAACCTTGCGTATTTAATTATAAAATTTAAAATTATGATATTTTATCCAATAATATAAATAAAACATATCAAATACGATAAATAAAATTGAGAATAATATAACAAAAAATAAAGGAAAATAATCATTAAAAAAACCTCATTAGACCATCTTCTTCATCAAGCAAACTTAGTACTAAATATGCTTATCTAAAAGTAATTTAAGTCAATTAATATTATGAAGTTTTATAAACATTTGGTATGATTTGAATATTTAAAATATTTTAGTAACCATTGAAAAGTTTCTGTTATTTCAGTTTTTTAGAAAAATTATTGTAACGCTTAAATTATGAAAAATATTAGTTTTTGTTTATGGATATTTTTATTTTCAAAAACAACTCATGCCCGCGCAAGACACAGGCCAACTATCTCGTATCTAGTGGAAATAATCGGAAAGATTAAGCGATTATTCTTTAGTGTTTAGACCTAATGTCAAGCCTCCAAGATTCCAACACTAAACACCAAATAATCTCTCTCTCTCTCTCACTTGTCGACTCCAACACGATTAATATATGCCTCTGGCATATGGTCATATGCTCTTCCTTTACGATAAATAGATATGTGGTTGTGCGTTGTGCTGTTGTAATGGGTGAAAAAGGCGACATGGTTGTAAGTTTTCAAATAACTCCATGTTCTCTGTATTATTCTCGTTACGTTACCAAAACCAAAGTTGTTGGATTTTAGATAATTTTTGAGTAATTTCACCTTTTAAGTTATATAATCGAACGGTGTTCTTTAGTATATAGCTTTGCTTGACACTGTTACGTATTCTTGCAGGCTGTAGCAGGGAAAAGTTATAAATAAGCTTAAAGAATGTTGAATCTTTTATTGTCCGTTATAAAAGTACATCTATTTATGTTGAAGCGTGGCCAAAAAAGCAGATGGCAAAGGACGAAAAAACAAATGTAAGACAGGAAAAGAAGCGAGTGTCTTTTATATGGTCTTAATTTTGTGTTCTATTGACCAATTATTCATTGACAAGAGAAGTTACAGAAAGCGACCTTGAAAGCAGAAGAAGCTGAGCGTGCTAGGAAAAGAAAAGCAAAAATTGGAAACTAGATAGTTAGCCCTCCAATTTATCGTTTCATATATTGATGTTGGATTGATTGAAACTAAAGGATCCATTATTAGTATTATGAAGGGGTTCTTTTTAGCAAGAGTCCATCCATGGATCATTCGCAATTCTTTGTAAAGGGTGTATGGACTCTTGCTGAGCTATATATTGTTGTAGAAGTCTTACGGAAGAGAATTTATTATAATTTTTTATGTTTTTGACTCTCTTCAATGATTGTTACGATTGTTTCTGTTTTTGTGAGAGCCTCACGAAAACGTTAAGCACTTCTCTGTTTGTTCAGCTGTGAATCTCGATCATGGTTTCTCCGTGATTAACAACTACAAGCTCTTAAAACAACTCCAAGAGGTATAAATAATATTTTAAAAGTAGATGCAGAGAGTGTTCAAGTTTCACTTTCATGTTCACCGTCTCCACACACTCTATCATCGTAAACATAACCACAACTGTCATTATTCCAAAATATTTCTGTGTCGCAATCAGGGTGAGACAGATTCGTGAGGTTCAATTAATGCTCTTGAGACTCTTAAAATAGGCTAAAGACGAGTACCATTCACACATTCGGATTACTATTTCTTGCCATGTTAATTAGTTTAGACATTTTCAGAAAACAATCTTTATATCCACTATAACTCTATAAGGCATCTCTATCTATTGTTAGCTAAATAAGGTTTGGTGTAACGCTTGCTATTATATATGGATGTTTGATTTTTTTAGTAATGGTTTAATATTATATATAACAAAATTAGGAGATAAAGAATAATAAAATGACAAGGGATAAAAAAAGAAGAAAAAGAGATTATTGGAGAATAAATAAGAGGGAGTAAAAGTCTGGAGAAGAAGAAGTTGAAGAACAAAACTAATAAAAGGGGCATACTTTTTTATCTCTCTAACCGAATGAAGAAACTGAGTAGAAGAAAAAGACTAGACACGTAGAAATTAGAAGATTAAGAAGTTAGAGAAGATAAAACACATAATGTTATCATCATATTTAATGTTTGGTAAGGGTTAGAGTGTATGGTTTATGAAAGATTTATAATATAAGAATAAATCAGGAAATAAAAAGATGATGATGAAGAGAGAGAGGAAAAGAAAAAGGATTAGAAACTTTGATAAGAATAAGAAAAAAAACAAACGGTAGAAAATGAATGAAAAAAAATATGAACGAAGTAAAAGAAGAAAAAGATAAAATGGGATTGGGGTTTATGATGTACGGTTTATATTGATGGGTGTAAAGTTTATTTTTAGATTCATTAAATTTTTTTGAATACACTACCTTACTGATCGAAAACAAAACAAAAAAATTCTTCTAAGAAAAAAATAAATATAAAATCCAATCCAGAACTAGCATCATCGGATACGGAAACTGAGATTCTTTCAACGTAGCTTGTTGGACAGGAACTCTTTGATTCAAGATCCCTTTTTACTACTGGCCAGTAAGATAAGGGACTATCTAGTTTGTAAAATGTGGAGTTTGAGTGTGCAGTTTGGGGGTGGGGGAGGTTATATTGTGGGGTTTGGGTTTAGGGTGTATAATTGTTCCGGGGGGAGGGGGTGTGTGGGGTGTGGTGGTGGTGTTACTGTGGGATTTGGGTTTAGAATTTAGGGTTATATATGATGATGTAGGGTTTAGTTTTTGGTGCATTCTTAGTTTTTGAAAATCTAAACTATCGAATGAAGTGATAGGTGAAATACAAGACGTATAAAAGAACGAATAATAACACTGAGTAAAAGAAAAGAAGTGGGTGAAAAAAAAGATGGGAAATTTGGAGAAGAAAAAAGAAAACTCGAACATGAGGAAATAAAAATCAAAGAAGAAAAGATGGAATGTGAAGAGAAAAAAAAAAGACAAAGAAGAAATCAATAAAAACTAGAATAATATGATGTGGTAGAGAGAAAGGGGAATGAGGAAGAAGAAAAACCGGAAAAAGAATGTAAAGAAAATTAGAAAATAACAATAAAAATAGTGTGAGTTAGAGAATATAAAGACATCACAAGAAAATATTGAAAAACAACAATTGGAAAAAAAGAAGAAGAAAAACATAATGAGAACGAATACAAAATTGAAAGAAAAATAAGAAAATTGAATAATTGGAGAAGAATAATAGGGAGAAGAAAACAAGAAGTGAAAAATCTTTTGTATCTCTTTAAGCAAATGAAGAAGATTATGCAGAAGAATGAGAGAAAAAAAGACAAAAGTAAAACACATTAAGATTAGAAAAATAAAAGTCGGCGAAAACAGAAACGATGAATACAATCATAAATTCTACTACTTATATTATTAAAATCTTTGTACTCGCACAAAGTGCGGGACCACAAGGTGCACAAGGCTCCATTTTTTGTGGGGTTATTGTAGGGTTAGAGTTTAGAAGGTAGGGTTTATATTGGTGGGTGTAGGGTTTAGTTTTTTGTGCACTTTTAAATCTGTAGTTCTTGAAAATTCTAATGAAAAGCGAAATAGGAAAACAACTAAATTGTTTAATCTTTTGTTCAAATCATATCGATTAAATAATAACATTTCGAATTCTTAAAATATCATATGAAATTTTGTGCAACAACAAAAATTACACCAAATTAAGCAAAAATATTTAATTCAAATAAAAAAATTTGTCTATTATGTGGTTATGGTGTACTGTACTGATGGGGGAGAGGGTGGTGTTTATTGTAGGGTTAGGGTTTAGAATGTAGGGTTTATATTGGTGGGAGTAGGGTTTAGTTTTTTGTGCGTTTTTTAAATCCTTAGTTCTTGAAAATTCTAATAAAAGAGAAATAGCAAAACAACTTAATTTTTTAATCTTTTGTTCAAATCATATCTTGCGTATTAAATTATGATATTTTATCCAATAATATAAATAAAACATATCAAATACGATAAATAAAATTGAGAATAATATAACAAAAAATAAAGGAAAATAATCATTAAAAAAACTCATTAGACCATCTTCTTCATCAAGCAAACTTAGTGCTAGATATGCTTATCTGAAAGTAAATTAAGTCAATTAATATAATGAAGTTTTATAAACATTTGGTATGATTTGAATATTTAAATTATTTTAATAGTTTTTGTTATTTCAGTTTTTTAGAAAAATTATTGTAACGTTTAAATTATGAAAAATATTAGTTTTTGCTTATAGATATTTTTATTTTCAAAAACAACTCATGCCCGCGCAAGGCGCTGACCAACTACCTCGTACTACAATAAAAGTGAGAGTATCACAAATCCATAGCATTTTAAGAAAAAACAATAATCACACTGACAATGAAATAGAATTGTATAAATAAAGAAAAGAAATTGCAATGCATGCAAGTTCATAAAAACAACAGAAAGAAACACTTTGCGAACATCAACTCTCGAAAATCCTATGGGAACCAAATGGGGTTGGTGGTGGGGTTTGGCCCGGTAACGGGGTTTCGCACTGCTTGAGCTGGCGGCTGCCGGAGCGATGGAGGAATCACCGGGGATCTGCTGCTGCTGCGGTTGGTGGTGGTGGTGGTGGTGGTTATGACCCATGAACTGAAACCCCATTTGCTCATTCATCATCTCCACAAAGCTTTGCTGTTGATACTGATTCTGAGTCTGATTCCAAGGTTGCTCATAGAGTCCAACATTTGGAGCCCCCGGAGGAGGAATCTGCTGCTGCTGCTGAATAGAGTTAAATAAAGCAGCGGCAGCCGCAGCAGCATTGGAGGGTTCACCGACCTCCATAGCAGCAGGATACCCCAAAACATCGATCCTCCGATTGAGATCTTTCAGTTTTTGGTCAATCATAAAACCTAAATCATTGAGATCTACAATATTTAGGTGAAACCTACCCACGTTACCCTTTAACCACTGGAACATGAGTTCAGTCATCTCCCGCTCCCTGTTCTCCTTACTCACTTTCTTAAGGTGCTCGGAAGCTTTGGTTATGCGTTGTCTGATGAACGCCTCTTGGTCCAACATTTTCTTTTGTTGGTCCAGCACCGGCAACCCCCGGAACTCCGAAATGACGCTGTGAACGCCGGCATTTGACGGCCAAACGTCGGGATTGGTGGTGTAGGGACTGTAGACGATGGCGCATGCAGAGACACCGCATAGAGTCGATAACTCGTTCACTTTCTTCAGAAGACCTTTGTTTCTTTTTCTAAAGGTGCTTTTCCTCTTACAATCGTTGGAAATATATGCAAGCTTCACCTTACTCCTCGTCATGATGGATTTTGATTTTTTTTGCTGCTTTTGTTTTCTTTTTGCTTATTTGTTTATGTTGTGTGTATTGAGTTGGTGAATGTGTGGTGTTATATATAGTGAAGGAGGGGGTGGTACACGAAGATTTGTCTCTCTTTAATTAGAGACACTATTTTGTAATTTAATGCTAGTGAAAATAATAAAAAATATTAATTACAGCCTAGCAAGTTTCTTATAAGTAGGTGAAAGATTTCATTTCTATACATTTCTTTGATTATCATCATGTTATACATTGGATATTGACGTGTACAGTAACCATGCATTAAAGCATTGTAGATTATAGTTATCTTTAAAAGCATTAGTCATAAATATCGTCCCTTTGATGCATGCTTACAAAATAGTTGTTGTGAAAATATTAATTATTGGTAGATATGCTTACTAGGTGATGATGCAATAGTCTTATCCCATAATAATTACTCCAGGCTTTCAGTAATAAGCACTGTCAGATACGTTTTAGATTCAATGTTAGCTAGAATATTTTGATTTAGCATAAATTTCCTCACCACACATAATGACTTTGTAATTTAAGGATGGGCTAAGACTAATTTGCATTAGCCTCAGTCTAGGAAGAGGCTTGATATTCTTTTTGATTACATCAAATTTATATTTATTTGATTGATAACCTCATATAAATCAACATTGTCAATATGAGTCCTAAACCAGTTAGAAATTGTTTATGATACTTCGGATGTATCAACAATGGTTCAAAATCTGACAATAGAAATCTTCTTTGAAAACCTTTTCAGTGATTAGAATATGAAGAATCTTCGTAGTTTCCCACACGATATTGAGCGAGCTAAAACATTTGTAATGATTAGAATGAAATATTAAGTAATCGACTAAGCCAATTGAAATTTAGTATTAATTCATTGTTTATAAAAAAATCACATAATCTTTTTTGGTTTTTATTTTATTTTGATAAATTTATTTCTTATATATTATAGCCCATTTAGACAAAAAAAACAAAAAAAAAACAAACAAACAAACAAAAACAAGGTGAATTGATAACATTACGTTTAATATATGAACATAGAAAATCTATATATATTTAGATGGAAATGAAGTTAGAAGTACATATTATCAACTAATCAAACAACAGGCAGACGAGGCTTAAACTTAAACTGACAAGAGAAGCATGGATGCTGGCTTTTAATCCGAGGCAAGATAGTATCTCCTGGAGTAGGTCTGAGGTAATTTTCAGATCCCAAAGTCCTATAATAATACCCTTCCTCTTCTTCTTTGATTCCTTTAGCTTTTGGATTGCAACTAATGAAAATAAGAAGAAGAAGAAACCTCAAGTGAGAGATCCTAAATCCTTGGAATTTCGATTAATAGGAATAGCGAAAAGAAAACTCACGATTGGAGCTTTCTTCTTTTCGTACCGGACACTGGAAGTGCTTGAATATGGGCTTCGGGGAACAATGACTATTCAATCCTTTCTTGTGTCTTTATATCCTCCAACTTACTATTCTTCTTTTTCTTTCTAATTTTATTTACATTCTTTTTACGTTTTTTCTTCTTCTCATTCCACTCACTCTCTATCTTTATCATCTTCGTCTTCTGAGACATCATATTATTCTAGTTTTTATTTATCTCTTCTTTGTCTTTTTTTCTCTTTACATTCCATTTTTTCTTCTTTGATTTATTTTTCCTCATATTCGAGTTTTCTTCTTTTTCCTCTCCATATTTCCCATCTTCTTTTCCATTGACTTCTTTTCTTTTACTCGTATTTTTATTAGTTCTTGTGTACGTCTTGTATTCCACCTATCAATTCATCTGATAGTTTAGATTTTCAAGGATTTATGAAATAGTTTTTTTTTTATCTTTATATAGTTGAGATCTTTTAAAAATCTTTGTTATCTTTCGATTCTGGATTTACTTTAATTGTTATAGTTTTTTTCTATTTGTGAATGTAATTTAGAAAGGTAGATATAAAGTTATAATCAATGATTTATAATTCTGATTTCTATAATCATTCAAATTTTTAAAAATGCACCAAAAACTAAACCCTACACCCACCAATATAAACCCTACACCCTAAAACCCAAACCCCACATTGTAACACCCCCCCCCCCCAAACGACCCTACACCCTAAACCCAAACCCCACGTTATAACTCTCCCCCCCCCCAAAACGACCCTACACCCTAGACCGAAACCCCACGTTATAACTCTCCCCTAAACCGCACACCTGAACCCCACATTTTACAAACTGGTTCTGGATTTGCTTTTATTTTTATTTTTTTCCTTAAAACATTTTTTTAAATGCAACAAAAATTAAACCTTTGCGCCAATCAATATAAACCGTACATCGTGTACCCCAACCCCATTTATTTTTTTTTACTTCTTTCATATTTTTTCCTTCATTTTCTACCGTTTTTCCTTATTCTTATCAAAATTTATAATCTCTTTTTCTTTTCCTCTCTCTTCATCGATATCTTTTTATTTCCTGGTTTTTATTCGTTTTCTTCCTTTTATTTACAGTTTGTTTTTCAACTGGCTTTGTGTTCTTATTCTTCATTTTTTATCTTTTGATTTTTCCACTTCTTTATTATTCACATATTCTTCAATTCTTTTCTTCTTTTGTTTTGTTTTTTTGTTCATTTTTCCCGTCTTCGTCTTCCAACTTTTGTCTTTCCTTATTTTTATTCAATTTTTCCTTCTTATTTCAACTTGTACTTCATCATTTTGTAGTATCAGTCTTTTTCTTTTTTGCAACATCTTATTTATCAGTTTTGTCTTCCTCTTTATTTTAATTTTTATTTTTTTCTCGTCTTCTCATATTTCTTCTTCTTCATCTCCTCATACCTTTTTGCTATTTTTTTTCAGTTGTAGTTCTTTCATCTTCTTTATTTTATTGTGTAACATCTTAATTTTCTGGTTTTCTTTGTCTTTATCTTCTCGTACTTTACTTTCGTCTTATTTATCCTCCGATTTTCTTCTTTCAAATTTTCCTTCTTATTCTCTGCTATTATGTTCTTCTTCTTCATTATATATGTTTTGTTATCTAAATCCATCTTTTCGGGTATTATACTTTGCTTCTTTTTCACGATGTTCTTTGTCTTCCTGGTAATATATTTCAGAGAAGATGATAGAGGAGATAATCTTTCAAGTAAAGATTACAAACTCTTTGTTCACCCATCCTTTGAAATGGAGCTTGTCCAAGTCAGAAATCTTAGAGAGGAAGTGTTAAGGATAAATTCTATAATCAACAAACTTGAAGGGCTTTTGGAAACAGATTCGTAGACTCTTGATGAGGCATTCGAGAATTGACAGTTTCATTTTATTTCCCCATTAAAGAGACTGTCCGGAATCACAAAGGTATTTGACCATGACTCTCATTTGCGAAGGGTTCACTTACTCTTGTTGCCGCCACCATTTTAACATTGGAATGATTTGTGCATTCCTATATGTGAATATTTGGACTCTACAATGTATAATTTTAATCGGCAATGTTGATGTATTCAAATATTCTTCCATAATAATTGGTTTTGTATTTACTTTTATTTTTCTTAAATGTAGTATTATTTTTTTAATCGGTAATGCAGTGTATTCAATTTTTTAAAATGCACCAAAACCTAAACCTTACACCCATCAATATAAATTGTACATCATAACCCCATTTTATCTTGTTCTTTTTTTACTTTGTCTATACTTCTTTTCTATTTTTTCCTTCAATTTCTACCATCTTTTTATTCGTTTTCTTCTTTTTATTTACAATTTGTTTTTCAATTAGCTTTGTGTTCTTATTCTTCCTTTTTTTTTTATCTTAGATTTTGTTTCTTGGGATCATTAACCATAATTAGAGACATAATGGATCTTGACATATACCACCACTAATCATTAACCATAAGTAGAGAGATTTCTATTTAGAGTCCCTCAAGCTCTGCCACTACAACCCACTCTATGCATACTCCTTCATCTAGTCTTGTAGTTGCCGATTCCAAGAAAGCCTTAACTGTTTCTAGTTTTTTTTATTACCTTCTTTCTTTCCTCAGTGGCTGCTTTGATTTCTTGGCTTCACAGCTCCAGTTCGCCACCCCACAACATTCTCCGGCTGGAATCCCTCTAACTCCGACCCAGTGGGATGGCCTTACATCAGGTGTTCCTCCTCATACAAACTTGTTACAATGACCAATGTCGTCTCTGTTCAGATGGCTTTACCTTTCCCTTTTAACATCTCTTCGTTTAGCTCACTTTAGAAACTCGTTATCTCCAACACCACCAGAACTATCTCTTCCGATATCGAAGATTGCCCTGAACTTAGATTATAGATTTAAGCTCAAACAGATTCATTGGTGAAATACCTTTGACTGTAGGGAAGCTCAAGAATCTCCAAGAACTCAGTCTGTTAGATTTATCAATATATCAACGACTGCTGCTACAAATGATTCAAAAGATAGGAAGGAGGTTAAATCATACCATGTGAGATATTAGATATATAACAAAATCAAAACACATGACAATAGATATTTCTGTGATCAAGTTCTACTTCATAAAAAGTCAACTTCTTTTGTGTCTCGTTGAGCTTAGCTTTGGCTATGTTCAGCTTTGTATGAAGATCTTGGCTATGCCGTTACCGGGAAAGCTAATCTCCTTCCTCTTGTTAAAAGGAGCGCCACCTGGAGCAGTGACTTCGATGGCTTTGGTCTTACCGTCGTTACCCTGTGTGATGTCCAACTCAACCGCATCGCCAACTGTTAGACTCCGGAAGTCTTCGACTAATTGGTGCAGAAGAATAATGGAAAGGCGTTCTATTAAGAGAAGAAGATTCTTGCAGAGGAGCTATGATTAATAGACCATTAGGGATCATAGAGAGAGTCTTGGGCTAACGATATTTAGTGTTATCTAAAAGTAAACCAAAGTCAAAAAGTTCAGATAGCATGCATGAATTCCGGAAGTCGAATAATTTGTGCAGAGAATCAATTTGAGTGAAGGTAGAGAACCGAATTCTGAAATCTTAAGTAACCAAAGAGAGTTAAAAAAATAACTACTACCATTACCGAAGTCGTAATCCATAATCCATCATAATAACGTTTTTATGTAATGTAACGAAGACTTACATCTGGGTGGGATCATGGCATAGTTGCCAGATTAAGAGGTCACAAAGCCATGGCTTGTAAGACGTTTTGTATCATATCGATATTTGAACCTGTTTTAAAGAAATCACAAAAACAGATTATTAGATATGAATGATAAAACATATTGGCAATCTAGCATAAAACGGAAAAGGAAGAACACATCGAAGATGGCCTTTTTTGTTAGTCACGGCTCACGGCCATATATATAGAGAAGTTATCACAGCTAGGGTTCATATATTATTTTATTAATTTTCATAAATTTGAGTCAGTTTTGCTCGAAACTCATAATACGATTTAGAATCACTTTCACTATTTCCACTATTTGTCTTTCAGAAATTAGGTGGTTAATCTAGTTTAGATTATTTGGGTGGTTCGCCTGCGACCATATATGCTCACAAGGTTTAGGGTTAGAAGAGATTAGGTGGTTGGCTTGCGCCTGCGTGGGCAAGATATGTTTCAGAACTCCAATTCTTTCAATTAATATTAGATTAACACATTTTATTTTTAGTTACTTTTCATATTTTTGTAATGTGTTTATTTTCCAAAGAAGTAATAGCTTAATTTGATATGAACTTATAAATTGTGAAAGCACAAAAAATTAGTTAAATTTTGTAATGATTGTTTTCTTCTCCCTCTTATTTTTTTTCAGTGATCCAATCTCTTTTTCTTCCATTTTTTTATTCTTTGTCATCATCTTTTTTTTTGTTCTTCTTTTTCCAATTTTTGTTCTTCAATCATTTCTTGTGTCTTCATATCCTCCAACTTACTATTCTTATTTTTCTTTCTAATTTTCTTTACATTCTTTTTCCGGTTTATCTTCTTCCTCATTCCCCCTTCTCTCTATCTTTATCATCTTCGTCTTCTCTGACATCATCTTATTCTAGTTTTTATTTATCTCTTATTTGTCTTCTTTCCCTTCACATTTTATTTTTTCTTCTTTGTTTTCTTTTTCCTCTTCGAGTTTTCTTCTTCTTCTCGAAGTTTCTCATCTTCTTATCCACTGTATTCTTTTATTCTACTCGTGTTTTTATTCCTTCTTGTCTATGTCTTATATTTCACTTATCAATTCATTCGATAGTTTAGATTTTAAAAGATTCGTGAAATAGTTTTTATCTTTATATAGTCGAGATGTTTTAAAAATCTATTTTATTTGTGTTGTTATCTTTTGATAATAGATTTGCTTTTATTGTTTTAGTTTTTTCTATTTATGAGTGTATTTTAGAATGGTAGATATAAGTTTATAATCAAAGATTTTAATTTTGATATACTTCTATTATAATTCAAAGTTTTAAAAATTCAACAGAAACTAAACCCTACACCCATCAATATAAACCTAAACCCAAACCCCACATTATAAACCCTCTCCCCCTAATTAAAGAACCTACACCCTATAAACCCAAATCCACATTATAACTCCCCCTGAAACACACACATAAATATCACATTACAAATTAGTTCTTGATTTTTTTTTGTTTTTTTATTTATTTATTATTATTTTTTTTTGTAATTGTTGTTTTCTTATCTCTTTTATTCTTCTATAGTGATCTCATCTTCTTCTTTTTTCTTCTATTTTTTTTATTCGTTGTCATCATCTTCTTTTTTTCTGCTTCTTCTTCTGTTTCCAATTTTTATTCTTCAATTGTTTCTTGTGTCTTCATATTCTCCAATTCACTATTCTTCTTTTTCTTTCTAATTTTCTTTACATTCTATTACCGATTTTTCTTCTTCCTAATTCCCCATCTCTCTATATCTTTATCATCTTCGTCTTCTCTTACATCATCTTATTATAGTTTTTATTTATTTCTTCTTTGTCTTTTTTTTTCTTCTCATCCCATTTTTTCTTCTTTGATTTCTTTTTCCTAGTGTTCAAGTTTTCTTCTTCCTCTCGAAGTTTCTCATATTCATTTCCATCATCTTCTTTTCTCTTACTCATGTTTTTTGTTCTTGTTTACGTTTTGTATTTCACTTATCAATTCATTCGATAGTTAAATTTTGTAATGATTGTTTTCTTCTCCCTCTTATTCTTTTTCAGTGATCCCATCTTTTTTTTTCTTCCATTTTTTATTTTTTTGTCATCATCTTTTTTTTTGCTTCTTCTTTTTCCAATTTTTGTTCTTCAATCATTTCTTGTGTCGTCATATCCTCCAACTAACTATTCTTATTTTTCTTTCTAATTTTCTTTACATTCTTTTTCCGGTTTATCTTCTTCCTCATTCCCCCTTCTTTCTATCTTTATCATCTTCGTCTTCTCTGACATCATCTTTGTAACATCCATAAACCAAAAATAAAAATTGGGAATTTTGTCGGTTCAATTTAAGTGAATTGGTTTGGGTCGGTTTAGTGGAGAAAGCCCTAAAATCAAGTTTAAAGAGTGCAGCCGTCTTCTCTTTGGAGAATTTTCGAGTTCAGATGCTGTAGAGGAGAAAAGTTGAGTTTTTGGAGAGATTTTCGAATTTTACTGTTCATCGGCACTGTTCATCGGTACTGTTCACGGGTTACTGTTCATCGGTACTGTTCATTACTGTTCATCGGTACTGTTCACTACTGTTCATCCGCGATTCGGCACTGTTCATCGTCCTTCCTTTTTCCTTCAGTTTCAGTCAATTGTCAAGGTGAGTGCATGACTGTGGGTCCGTGATTTGCTAGATTAGATTTGGTTTGTGGTTGTTCTTGATGAGTTTATGTTTTTAATTGTTATTTTTATGATATTTTGGTTGTTCATGTGATGAATTGTGTGTTTGTGTGGTTTAATCTGGTTTATTGGTTAATTGAATTTAATTGGTTTAATTGAATTTAATTGGTTTAATGGAATTAAATAGATTTAATTCGGATTTAATTAATTAAATAATATTTATTTAATTAATTGGTATTATTTTAATTATTTTAAAATATGGAAAATTATTATTTAATTATGAGAATTATTTAATAATTGAGAAATTGAGTTTTAATTATTAAAATTATTTAATAATTGGAAAATGGTATTTAATAATTATTGGAGTTTATAAATATTATTAAATATCTAGTAAATTGCGTAAATGGCTCGTAGGCAGAGTGATTGCCTCACTAAGTATTTATTAAATACTTACGCAACTCCATTCCAATGTGTTGCAGGTAAAAGATTTGTGTGATCGCGGAATCAAGGCTGAAGAGGGGGATGATAGGATGTTTACTGTTTTATTGTTTTGCATTATTTTGCTAGACTTGTTTAATTATTATTTGCTTCCGCTGAGCTGATTTATTTGTTATTGATATTTTATTTATTTAATTTATTTTAAAGACCTTCGCTAGAATTGATTAATATTTATTAAAAAAAAAAAAATGTTGGTTGTTTCATTTTGGTATCAGAGCCTAGACGGTTTTAGGACTGTTAGAATTGCTAGGCTTTAGTATCATCCCCTTCAGCTACAAGAGATTCCGCGGTGAGTTTATGTTTGTTTTGAGTTTTGGTTGCGTGTTCTAGTGTGCTCTTTTCGGTTCCATGAGTGAGATGGACTGAGTAGCTAGAGGTTGTGGCGCGAGAGGGCGCGGTGCTCGAGGCCGTGGTGGCAGAGCTAGAGGCCGGGGCCGAGATTGTGGACTTCGGCGGATTCGGGAGAGAGTGTGGTGCCTAGTGTGGCGACTGCGTCGGTGACCCAGTCGGTATCCGTGGCGAGTGAGGCCAGTGTGGATGCGAGTGTTGGTTTGGGAGCGGGGGCTGCTCCGGGTTGGGGTGGTGCTCCGGCTCAGGGTCTTGATGACTTAGTGGTGGGTTTGCTGACGCAGTTATTGGCTCGTTTTCCGCCAGTGGTTCCACAGGGGCTCCGGGAGTACCTCCAGTGGCAGAGGTGCAGCAGAGGGCTGCGGGTTTGTTCAGCCGCAGGCTGTGGGTTTGATGGTGCCGCCTATTGGATATGATGGGGCACATGCAGAGGATTGGTACGCCGTACTTTGAGGGCGGAGTTAGCCCAGAGGCGGCAGATGAGTGGCGTCAGAGATTGGAGCGGAATTTCCAGTCTATCAGATGTTTGGTTTAGTACCAGGTTGAGTTGGCAGTCCACTATCTGAGTGGAGATGCACATTTGTGGTGGCGGGCATCGAGGGCATAATGGTTGTTGTTGTTGTGTGTTGTTCATTTATCTGTGATAAATTGTGAGGTTCTCAACGCATGTGTGTAATGACCTTGTTAGTGGGCGGTTTTGAGTCCCACGTTTTATTCGACTCTGGAGCATCGAATTGCTTCATTACACCGGAGCGTGCCGAGAAGAGTGGCATCCGGAGTAGCGCGGGCGAGAGCGCGGGCATGGTCAAGGTGGCGGGAGGTGGATTCTTGTCTACTTTGGGCCGTGCTAGAGGAGTCGAGATCGAGATTGCGGGGCAGTCAATGCCAGCAGACTTAGTCATCAGTCCGGTGGAGCTGTATGACGTTATTCTCGGGATGGACTGGTTGTCACACTACAGAGTTCATCTGGATTGCTACAGAGGTAGAGTGGTCTTCGAGCGAGATGCAGGGAGGTTGGTTTATCAGGGAGTGAGACCGACTTCCGGGAGTATTGTGATATCTGCTATTCAGGCCGAGCAGTTGTTAGAGCGGGGCTGTGAGGCGTATCTGGCGACGATTTCTATGTCTGAGTCAGGAGCTGGAGTTGTTATGGGAGATATTGAGGTTGTCCAGGATTTTGAGGATGTCTTTCAGTCACTGAAGGGATTACCACCATCTCGGTCTGATCCTTTCACGATTGAGTTAGAGCCGGGGACAGCACCGATATCGAAGACGCCTTACAGGATGGCGCCAGCTGAGTTGGCAGAGCTGAAGAAGCAGATAGAGGACCTTTTGTCTAAGGGGTTCATTCGACCGAGTGTTTCACCGTGGGGAGCACCGGTGTTGTTTGTGAAGAAGAAGGATGGCAGTTTCAGACTTTGTATCGATTACAGAGGTCTTAACCGAGTCACTGTGAAGAACAGGTACCCACTCCCGAGGATTGATGAGTTGTTGGATCAGTTGAGGGGTGCTACTTGGTTCTCCAAGATTGACTTGGCATCGGGGTATCATCAGATCCCGATAGATGAGGCAGATGTCAGGAAGACTGCTTTCAGGACGCGTTATGGGCATTTTGAGTTTGTGGTTATGCCTTTCGGTTTGACTAACGCGCCGGCAGCCTTCATGAGATTGATGAACGACGTGTTCAGGGAGTATTTGGACGTGTTCGTCATCATTTTCATTGATGATATTCTGGTATACTCGAGGAGTCAGGAGGAGCATGCGACTCACTTGAGGTTGGTTCTGGAGAAGCTTCGGGAGCAGAAGCTTTTTGCTAAGTTGAGCAAGTGCAGTTTCTGGCAGCGAGAGATGGGATTTCTTGGCCACATTGTTTCTGCAGAGGGAGTTTCTGTGGATCCGGCTAAGATTGAGGCTATCAGAGATTGGCCTAGACCTAGTAGTGCCACCGAGATCAGGAGTTTTCTGGGTTTGGCAGGATACTACAGGAGGTTCGTCAAGGGGTTTGCTACCATGGCGCAGCCGATGACGAAGTTGACCGGGAAGGATGTCCCTTTTTTGGTCAGCTGAGTGTGAGGAGAGCTTTAGTCAGCTCAAGGAGATGTTGACTACTACACCAGTGTTGGCGTTACCCGAGCCAGGGAAGCCTTACATGGTGTATACAGATGCTTCAGGCATTGGTCTTGGTTGTGTGCTGATGCAGGAGGGCAGAGTGATAGCATATGCTTCGAGACAGTGGCAGGGCAGTGAGCGTAACCGTCCTACACATGACTTAGAGTTGGGAGCAGTGATCTTCGCGTTGAAGATTTGGAGGTCTTACTTGCTAGGTGAGACAGTACAGGTCTTCACGGATCACAAGAGTTTGCAGCATATCTTCACTCAGCCGATGATGAACGCGAGACAGACGCGCTGGGTTGAGTTCTTGGCGGATTATCAGGTGAGCATTAACTACCATCCGGGCAAGGCTAACCTAGTGGCGGACGCGTTGAGTAGACGGAGGTATGATTCCGCAGTTGAGCGAGATGTGGAGTCTCTAGTTGGCGAGATCAGTACCTTGCGTTTGTGTGCCATTTCGCAGAGCCTTTGGGTTTAGAGGCAGTGGATCAGGCGGATCTACTTAGCAGGATCAGAGTTGCTCAGCAGAGTGATCAGAGTTTGCTAGATGCGACGAGAGTGACTGGTTCTGAGTATGAGGTCTCTGCGAATGGGACTATCTTGGTTCGTGGGCGAGTTTGTGTGCCTAAGGATGTGGAGTTGAGACATCAGATTTTGGGAGAGGCTCACGCGAGCAAGTTTTCCATTCATCCGGGAGCGACCAAGATGTACCATGACCTCAAGAGGTACTATCATTGGGTCGGGATGAAGAGGGATGTAGCAGACTGGGTTGCGAAGTGCAACACTTGTGCCTTGGTGAAGGCAGAGCATCAGGTTCCGGGTGGTCTTTTGCAGAGTTTACCCATTCCAGAGTGGAAGTGGGACAGGATTACGATGGATTTCGTGGTTGGACTACCTGTTTCGAGGACTTTCGATGCTATCTGGGTGATTGTGGATCGGTTGACTAAGTCCGCACATTTCTTGGCCATCAAGAAGACAGATGGAGCTGCTGTCTTGGCTAGGAAGTTTGTGCGAGAGATTGTGAGGCTGCATGGAGTGCCAGCTAGTATTGTGTCAGACCGTGATCCCAGATTCACTTCAGAGTTTTGGAGGGCGTTTCAGGCAGAGATGGGCACTAAGGTGCATCTGAGTACAGCTTATCATCCGCAGACAGATGGTCAGTCAGAGAGGACTATTCAGACTTTGGAGGATTTGCTGAGGATGTGTGTGTTGGATTGGGGTGGCCATTGGGCAGATCACCTGAGCTTAGTTGAGTTTGCATACAACAACAGCTTTCAGGCGAGTATTGGCATGGCTCCATTTGAGGCTTTGTATGGGAGGCCATGTAGGACACCCCTATGCTGGACCCAAGTGGGGGAGCGCAGCATGTATGGAGCTACTTATGTTCAGGAGACGACAGAGAAGGTTCGTGTTGTGAGGCTGAACATGAAGGAGGCTCAGGATAGGCAGAAGAGTTATGCAGATAGACGCAGACGAGAGCTTGAGTTTCAGGTGGAGATAGAGTTTATCTCAAGATGGCTATGTTGAGGGGTCCTAACAGATCCATAGCAGAGAACAAGCTGAGTCCGCGTTTATGGGTCCGTTTCCAGTAGTGGAGCGAGTTGGGCCATTGGCTTACAGGCTGGAGTTGCCTGAGATTATGAAAGCCTTTCACAAGGTTTTTCATGTGTCGATGCTGAGGAAGTGTCTTCACCCTACAGAGGAGTTAGTGGCTAGGATTCCAGAGGATCTTCAGCCAGATTTGACAGTGCCGGCAGTGCCTGTGAGGATTTTAGAGAGGAGGGAAAAGGTTCTGAGGAACAAGAGGATTCCCTTACTGAGGATTTTGTGGGATTGCAGTGGTTCTACAGAGGAGACTTGGGAGCCAGAGGCAAAGATGAAGTTGAAGTTCAGGAAGTGGTTCGACAAGCAGGTCGAGGAGTGAGCTTATTTCATCTTTGTAGCCTCAGTTGTTATTTTTGGCTTTGGTGTTATTGTATTTTCGTTTTCGTTGTAACGATATACATTTTGGAGTTTTAATGAGATGCAGTTTTTCCTCATTTTGCCTTGTGTTGTGAAAAGGTATTCGGATGTTACACATGTTTGACCAGTTTTTGGTTGTGAGACGGTCTAATCTTATGGTTATAGACATTTTCCGGAATTTTTACTCTAAGGATTGCGATCCTGAATAACTCATCATGTTTTTGGAGACTTCGTTCTCTGGCAGACTCTCTGGGTGCAAGTAGGCCTCAGTTGAGTGTAGCTTATCTGGGTGCAAGTAGGCCTCAGTATAAGCAGTTTAGTTCATCTGGGTGCAAGTGGGCCTCAGTATGGACGTTTTCGGGTTCGTCTGGGTGCAAGTGGGCCTCAGTGCGGACCGGTGTGGACTTGTCTGGGTGCAAGTGGGCCTCAGTACAAGTTGTTTGGTGTGTTTGGATGATGAGTTAGGAGTGAAATTTTCTTGGAACGTGTTTATGACATAAGATATGACGTTTGTCTCGGGGATCAAGTGAGGATCTCCGTGTTGCGGCCTTGCGAGGTTGGGTTTTGTGGTCTTTGTGACGTTTGCGTTGGGATTCGAGGACGAATCCAGTTTAGTGGGGAGAGTTGTAACATCCATAAACCAAAAATAAAAATTGGGAATTTTGTCGGTTCAATTTAAGTGAATTGGTTTGGGTCGGTTTAGTGGAGAAAGCCCTAAAATCAAGTTTAAAGAGTGCAGCCGTCTTCTCTTTGGAGAATTTTCGAGTTCAGATGCTGTAGAGGAGAAAAGTTGAGTTTTTGGAGAGATTTTCGAATTTTACTGTTCATCGGACTGTTCATCGGTACTGTTCACGGGTTACTGTTCATCGGTACTGTTCACGGGTTACTGTTCATCGGTACTGTTCATCGTGTTCATCCGCGATTCGGCACTGTTCATCGTCTTCCTTTTTCCTTCAGTTTCAAGTCATTGTCAAGGTGAGTGCATGACTGTGGGTCCGTGATTTGCTAGATTAGATTTGGTTTGTGGTTGTTCTTGATGAGTTTATGTTTTAATTGTTATTTTATGATATTTTGGTTGTTCATGTGATGAATTGTGTGTTTGTGTGGTTTAATCTGGTTTATTGGTTTAATTGAATTTAATTGGTTTAATTGAATTTAATTGGTTTAATGGAATTAAATAGATTTAATTCGGATTTAATTAATTAAATAATATTTATTTAATTAATTGGTATTATTTTAATTATTTTAAAATATGGAAAATTATTATTTAATTATGAGAATTATTTAATAATTGAGAAATTGAGTTTTAATTATTAAAAATTATTTAATAATTGGAAAATGGTATTTAATAATTATTGAAGTTTATAAATATTATTAAATATCTAGTAAATTGCGTAAATGGCTCGTAGGCAGAGTGATTGCCTCACTAAGTATTTATTAAATACTTACGCAACTCCATTCCAATGTGTTGCAGGTAAAAGATTTGTGTGATCGCGGAATCAAGGCTGAAGAGGGGGATGATAGGATGTTTACTGTTTTATTGTTTTGCATTATTTTGCTAGACTTGTTTAATTATTATTTGCTTCCGCTGAGCTGATTTATTTGTTATTGATATTA